AATATGACTAAGTAACATTGTTGTGTCTATTATTAATTGTTGCTTTATTTTATTTATGTATTATTGTACTCGTTGTAGTTTTTATTAACATATAGTTCTTGCATCTTTTAAACCCCATATTTTATATTGCTTGTCTAATAAAAAAAGACTAAGCTAGACTACATACTTCAAATAAGAGAGTCCCGCAATAGATCTGAAAATGTCATGGTGAACAAGGATAAGTAATGTCTAACTCCTTTCAAATCTAATCATAATGGTTGATTCTTAAAAAACAAAAACAGCCAGTAACATTATACAATTTAAATTACAGTTATTGCATAAATAATAGGAAACTTTAATAACACACGGTGTCATTTTTAAATGAACCATTTATCTTTTAAAGTACAGGCAAATACATTACCATAGATCCACTGTTTGGATATTTTTCTTGTTTCTTAATTCTTCTGTAGCAAGTGAAGCATACTTATTTCTAAATTTTAAACTTTCTTCGTAACATCTCTTTTATATAGTTGAAATACTACATTTAAATTCTTTTGCCATTTTGCTCGCTGAGAATCCTTGATAATAAATTAATTGTAATTGTTCTCTAGCAATATCAATTGCTGGTCGGCCTAGTGCTATGAACAGATAAAAGTTATTAAGTTTCATAAGTATATTTAATAGCCAAAATACAAAATGTAAGATTTTACGTTCCTTAAAATACATTTTAACAACTTTATTTATTTATCAGAAACTGCTCAATAATCAAAGGGCAGCTCCAGGAGATTAAAATTCTTACAATTCAAGAGCTTTTTATTAAAAAAAAGCCAAAAAAGGAAATAAATCACATAAAGAATGTACTGTCATTAATATTATTTATAGTATGCAATCGCAAACAAACACCCAACAAATAAAACGAAAGTTTAACAAAATAACCGATTATGTTCTTCAACCAGTACCACAAAGAAAAAAAAAAGAAAAATTGACTTACAGGTAGCTAAAATGATTGCTGTTCACTACCAGCCACGTGCAATTTGTAAATTTAATAAACATGCTGAACCCGTCTTACGATTCCAAGTTGCTCTGGAACATCAAGCAATGAAATAAAATCACTCAAAGAACATATTGTTACTCCGGAAGCTGTAAGACCAAATGCAAAGGCTGCACCTCGAAAGAAAAATGATAATATGAGGAAAAAAACTACTTCTACTGTATTGACTCAGACTCTTGTAATTAAAGAGAATAAAGAAAAAGAAAGGTTAAAATTGGAAAAAACATTTTAAAAGTGACAAAGAATGAAGAAAGTAAAGAAAGCCAAGAGAAATTTATTTGCGCCCAAAAATGACAGCTCAAACGAGAGTGACATTGCAGTGAATGAAATGTGTAATGATGATTCAGATGCGGATGTCTCCGATGAATTTACAAAAGACCAAAATGAGATCCTTAACATATCTGATTTCATACTTGTTAAGTATTCTATGAGAAAAAGCATCAAACACTTAGTTGGTCAAATAGAAAAATTATAAAAAGACGAATACACAGTTAATTTCTTGAAAATAATCCAAATAATAGGTTCAGCTTTCCTGAAAAACGGGATGACAACATCGTCAGAAGAAAATATTATTCCAAACTTCCAGTGCCCTTTACTTCTGGTGAAACTAAAAAAGCAGCGAAGCAATGGCTCTTTGATTTTAAGGACTTTAATATACATTCATGCTTCTCACTACTGTTAATTTGTTTCTCGTTTTGAATTTATAGCTTAGTCAAAACTTTCCCATTTGAGCTACAAACTCAAATATCTTTGTTTTTGATACCCTGCAAATTATTAAGTTATGTTTAAAGATGTTCTCCTATTTTTTTTATTGAGATACCTACTAACATATTATTTTGTCAATAAACGATCAAATTTTCCTTTTGTATTAATTTATAAGGCTTGAAGTTCATTGTCCCACTATTCTTTCCCAGCATACAACGTGGGTTGATTGCATACTGGGAAAGTGATGTATAGTGGAACATCCAATTTTTTTTGTTAAAGTGTAAAAGTTGTTAAAATTTATATAGTTGTTGATAAACAAACTATTTTTGAATATACAAGAATGTTCACAGTAGTTAAAAATTATTGAAAAAACTTTGTATGTCAGTTAGAAAAATATTGTCCTAGTATACAACAGCCTCCCCTATCTTGAAATGCCAATATTTTTTTATAGTAATATAAGTTCTTACTTTTTTAAAGATATTTTAAGGTGACACAACAATTCATTTCTCTATCCAAAATTAAATATGAAAAATGCATTTAAGCCACTGTCGAAAACTGGCTAAAATGATTATCAACGTTTTAAAAGTAATCGTTTTGTTATAAATATGTGCCGCGGAAAACCACAAAATTGTATAAACCATATTTTACATATTTAAATAAATTTGTATTATATTTTGGATAACGCAATTTAGAAAAAAAAAGAAGGGGCTCGAGTCCTGTTTCTTTAAGAGTCACTAAGAGGAGGACAATATGGACCTTTTTTTTTAAAATGTGTTTCGGGGCTCCGTCAAATATATCGCTTTTCAAAAAGGTTCAGTCACAAAAAAAGTTTGAGAACCACTGCTCTAGACTATCACGACATTGACTGTCGAGATTACTAGACAGAAATTTGATGTTCAAACTCGGACCCGACGGCGGTCAGGCTCGTTCTAAAATCATCAAATACATCTCTACAGAATCGGTAAAATATATGTTAATAAAATCTAGTATAATAAGAGATATTCAAGAATCAGCGTTTTTCAATTTATCAAAACTGAAAATAATATATATTGTACTCAAAGTGATGATTTTATTATCAATTTGAAATTTTATTTTATCGTAGTTGTAAGGTGAAAAATATTAGTAAAATAATTAATTAGTCAATTTTTTTTTAATGAATCAATTAAAGTATGAGTACACCCTGTACCTATGTAGCCGGGCCGTCCCTGTACAGGCAGAGACGAGAAGGTACCTGCGCGGCAAAGAATATAATAAGTACGGCCTGCGAGCCGACAAGGTTAATGTTTGTGTTCCTCATTTTTATATATTTCATTTGATATAATAAATCCTTGAATAGTGTTGGTGCATAAATCGTCCCACTACACCTATATATACAAGAATTAAATCAAACTGACAGGTCCTGTGACAGTTTTGCCAACTCTAAACGAACAGAAATTAAATAGCGGGAAGTAATTTTAGTGAGAAAAACAATACTTTAGAAATAATTTGTTTAAAATGAGGAATTATTATATACTATATGTTTGGTGGCCGAAGAATTAATTTTGATGGGATATAGAAATTCATTCTGAAAAGGAAAAATTGTAAAAAACTTTTAAAAAGAGGTAAAATTATATAACCTAGTCCTAATAGTCTTTTTAACGTATAAAATTAACAAAAAATTCTAATGAAAAGAAATATAGTGGTGTGTAAACCAACATTTTATGGACAGTGTAACGCGCCCACCCTGTACAATAGTTTTATAATTTTGTTTATGTCTGGAATCTTCTAACGCCACCCGATCGCTGGTCATGGAGAGAGGAGCGGGTGACGGTTCGGAGATCAGAAGGGTGAGCAACTTGCGAATATCAAGGTGCGAGTAGTTTAAAAATAGATTTGTTTTGCAAGTGTATTGACGCTGTAATCTGGAGATAAATAAACGATCAAAAGGCTGTCTGTTATTTCTAAATGACCCACGACCCATTGACGAATTTGGAGGTTTCATTTGGCGCCCAACGTGGGACGGAAAAATACAGCAGACTAAAGAGTGATTAGTTTTTCAAAGAAGATTGAAAACAGCGATTTTTAGGTTGTATGTTCTGGCCTCTGGGTGAGATAATTCCATGTATTATTTTTTCAAATCAACACGTAATAACGTATAAACAGCTGATACTTATAACGATTCTTTTATGTTGCCTTTAGACTATACCAATATAAATAATGATATTTTAATTCTGCCATTTGAGGATAATATAACATCTAATGGTAATAATATTATGGAAGTACAACATTTAAACGCTTAACTAACCATTTTTTTTTTTCATGAAAAGCTGTCCAAAAAAATCGATTTTTTTTTATGTTTAAAAATAAATGTCTGATTGTATCTTTAAACAAATTTCATTTTTACGGAGTCCTTTTGATGTTTGTTTTTTAACAAAAATTACTGTAATTATTATTTCGGGTTACATAATCGGTTGTAAAATACATGAAATAAACGTTAAACGAGTAGGTGTACTCGGGATAGGTGGTCAAGTACAATCAATAAAAATATTATCAAGGAAGGAATAACTTTAAATCATTTAACAGGTAGAAATGAAAATAACACTAAAAATCATGGAATGTTGCAACAAAGCAATGAACTTAATAATAATGGCTTACACAATGCAAACGAATTAAATTACATTGCTTTGCAAAATGTCGAAATGGTACCGGCAGAAACAAATGAAGAGCCAGCAAACACTGCAAATCCAGACAGGGTTCCTTTTGTCAAATGGGTACCAGCAAAAACAAGTCGAGAGCCAGTAAACAGTGGTGCAGGTCCGAGCTGTTCTCGTTTTGTCGAAATGGTACCAGACAAAACAAATGAAGAGCCAGTAAACAATGCAGATCCCGACTGTGTTCCTTTTATCAAACTTGTACCAGCAAAAGCAAGTCAGGAGTCAGCAAACACTGGTGCAGGTTCGGACTGTTTTTCTCTTGTCAAAATGGTACCAGAAGCAGCAAGTACTGAACCAACAAACAATACAGATCCAGACTGGATTAGTTCTGGTTCTGATGATGATAGTGATAAAAACGAATCCAACATAGAGAATATCAGTGCAACAAAAACAAATATTGGGGCTGAAGGAAACTGGAAGATTTCGAGAAAAAAAGAAAAACATAAAAGGTTATATGGCCAAAAGTATATGGGTTTGAACGTTTGCAAAACAAACAATATGTTCTGGTAGAAAGAAAACAGAAGACACTAAAACCAAAGATGTGTCCTCATAATATATTGAAATATTCTTATATGTGTGGAAAAATTACTGAAGAGGCAAGAAAAACTATTTTCAATGGATCTTGGAAAATACAAAATTGGAACGCTAAGAAATTCTATTTAAGAGGTCTAACTGATTTTCGAATTGCCAAGAGAAGGAGAGCTGGAATAGAAATAGAAACGGTAAAAAAGAAATATAGTTATGACTGTTACTTACCTGATGCTAGTGGAATTAAGTTACGGGTATGTCGCGATTTTTTCTTATCCACTCTAGATTTGAAAAAGGATTGTTTTAACATCTGGTTAAAAGAAGAAGCTACAAGTAGAAATCATGATGAAGGCGGAAATGAAAGATCAGAAGGAGAAAGTACTGTAGAGAGAAAAAATAAAGGGAAAATAGAAAAATTTTGTGAAACAAATCTAGTGCACCATCTCCGCAAAAATCAAGTAATGTTTTTACGTGGTTAAATGAGATATCGAACGTTCCTAGTCATTATTGCCGATCTACTACTTCAAGAGTTTACGTGGAATCAAGTTTCAGATCAATGGTCCACGTGCATAGTGTGTATAAGGAATGGTGTAGTGAAACAGGGGTCCCTTCAGTAGAACGTAAAAAGTTTTGTGAAATTCTGGAATCTCAATAAATTTCAATACATAAACCACACAAAGACAAATGCGACACATGTGTTGCTTTTAAGGAAGGAAATTTGACACAGCAAGAGTATGATTTTCATATATTAAAAAAAGATGAAGCTCGAAATGCTAAACAGATTGCAATGTCTTTAGCATCGGATAACACGCTAGTTTTTACTTTGGACGTGCAAAGTGTTTTGACTTATCCAAAGCCACTTGTATCCAGTCAGTATTATAAACAGTATTTAAATTTTGAAGATCTACCAAGTAATTATTCCTCAATTAGGCCAGGAAAAAAGCAGGAGACCCAACAGTCACAGACATTCGCGGTTTGCTTTATAAAAATGGAGACTTGTTTTCCAAACTACGACATACTGATGACTGGCAACAATTACCACAGCGAAAAAGTAAATTAATACAACGTAACCCTGTAAACCTTTATCAGGAACCGATAAAAATTGAAAAGGGGACATTTGACAATCTGCAGTCTTTAAAACCATTTATACACAGAGCGGCGGGTCCTTTTTGCCCACAAATCTCTGTTTTCTACCTGTGTAAGTAAAGGGGTGCGTTAATCTTACTGGTATTTTGCCCACGGTAGCATTCAGGTACCTAAACCCGCAAATTACATCCGCCCACAAATAGGTACCTACCTGATTATTAATAATTCTAATAGGTACTTACTTTGGGTGTTTACTGTTTATATTTCAGTCAGTTTTTATACGTTGATGATTGTAATTCGAGTGTTAATAAACAATAATTATTTCTATAATGTCAGCTACATTGATTAAAAGCACACGAAAGATGTACTCCTTTTGGAGAATTTTACGTTTGCCAAAGATAGAGAAATGAAAAGTGGAGAAGTTTCTTGGAGATGCTCCCAAAGAAAAACAAATGCTTGTAATGCCACTGTATTTACAATTGGTCCTGAACTTTTAGTATCCAGAGGCAACCTAATTCATAGCCATGAAGCAAATGAACCGAAATTAAACAGGAAAATTATTTCTAATTCGTGTAAGCGAAAAGCAGTTGATGATATTTCGGAAAAACCTTCTAAAATTATCCGTAAAGTACTTGCTACTAATTTTCCAGAGTCACTAACTACAATTGATGTGTCCTACATAAGAAAAACTATATACAACAGTCGTCGCAAAATACTACCAGGTCCATTACCTACAAATATACAAGAAGTGCATGATGCAGTTGACTTATATTCTAATACATTTAAAACCAGTAAAGGTGAACATTTTCTTTTAATAAATAGCAGAGAAAATAATATTATTGTATTTACATGTGAGACAAATATTCGTACTTTGTGTAAAATGAACGTCTTGTATATGGATGGAACATTTTCGTATTGTACAAAGTTTTTCCTACAATTATTTACCATTCATGGGCTGTGTAATGGACACTATGTGCCCCTGGTATATTGTTTATTACCAAACAAATCTACCGATATATACAAACATTTGTTTTCGTTATTGCATTATAAAATTTTGGAAACTTACAGTATTGCTTTAAATCCATCTAAAGTGTTCGTTGATTTTGAAATAGCAATTCATAAGGCGTTCATTTATATGTGGCCTAATACTGTAATCAATGGCTGCCGATTTCATCTACATCAAGCGTGGTATCGTAAAATTCAGTCTCTGGGATTAATGACTGAATATACAACTAACAGTGATACCGGAAAATGGCTTAAAACATCATTTGGGTTGACATATTTAAACGCCGATGAAGTTGGAGACTGTTTTGTGTTTGACTTAATGGCAAGTAAACCAGAAAATGCCGTTCTCGATAGGTATGCCGATTACCTATTAGAAACATATATTGAAGAAAATTCTACATTTCCTCCAAGTATATGGGCAGAAAAAACAGCTTCAATTACAAGAACTACAAATGCCTGTGAGTCGTTTCATTCAAGGTTTAATTCTTCATTCTACTGTACACATCCTTCTGTATATATTTTTATAGAAAAGCTTAAAGACTTTCAAATCGACACGTATGTCACAATACAAAGCTTAAGTATACCTAAGAAAATCAAAGACAAAAGTGTAAAACAAAAAATTCAGTGTTTAGAAAAATTTATACAGCGATTTGATCTGCAGCAAATCAGCAGATTAGAGTATATAAAATTTGTATCACATTTATCCCTCCCAGTTGAAAAATATGTAAATAAAATATAAATATATAAAAAATATAATATAACTTATGTATACTTACTTTTTTATAATAATAAAATTAGTGTTTAATATAATTTTTAGTTTAATTAATAATGTGTTTTTACTTTTCGATAATATATAAAAAATAATAAATGAAAGATATATCTATTATGATTTATTCAGTTAGAAATAAATTTGGGCAAAATACCAACAGGATTAAGATGACCTTTTACTTGCTGTGGGCAAATTACCTATAGGATTAGCAGCTTTAAATATTTTGTGGGCAAATTACCTCCGCCCACACAGAGATTATCAACATTTTTATAATTCATTAAGTCATCAGTAATAATAATCGGGTATGGAACATCTAATTTTTGGAATGTTTTTTTTTAATGAACCTTACTGTTTTTGTATTCTGAGAATAAAAGAATATTTTCTTGATTCTTTAAAGTGTTTTAAATAATTTTTCTTAAACTTTTGTAAACAAAAACCGCCATGTATTTAAAAGGCGCAAGTAAAAGTAGCTATGTGATGCAGAAAATTCAATATATTTTTTAACCACATAATGTATTTCTATTTTTAGGAACTTTTTTGTTACATGATCCTTGGTTAAAATCTTTACCTCCCTAACTTTATCATTTTAATATAAATCAAGAAATGTATTAAGAAAAAGGTTTTTTTGTTCCCCTTTACAATAGTGCTATTTGCACATAGCGTTTTTTGCAGGCCCAGCGACGAAAAGTAACTATCACGGACAATAATACCAGATTTTGACCGTAAAAATGAAAATATTTATGAATGCTTACATATTATCGATGAACATGCCTTTTATTACAAATTTGGAAGAGCACAAGACAACATTTCAAGCCTTAAATAAATTAAAAAGTAGGCGCTGAAAAGTGGTACCTATAAAGATTTAATTATAAACGAAATAGTGCATGGTAAACATAATTTTAAAAATAAAGAGTGTTTTATCAGAATGTATTATAGATCGTAAGTTTACGGAAAATATATAAATAAATAAATTATTGCCGTGTAGACGAAAAATTACATTTTTTTAGGCATCAGCATTATCAACACAACAAAATAAACGAAATATATTTGATTCTGTAGATAATGTAACTGTTAATAGCTTACTAAACTGTGTAGTTATAATTGTATTTTTCTTTAAAATATTATAAGGATTTAATAGAATCACCTGTATTACTATGAAATTTAATTTTATCTTGAACAATTGCAATCTATAAAATCAATACAGGATGGATGATGCGGTATAATTAAAATTTAAAAAAATATATATCGCCGAGTTACTGCTGGCTAATATTATCCAAGAAAGTAATTCACCGTATGCCAGCTGTTTTATTGTATAACAAAAAAAATTGTGAGAGTGACTGGTTAACTCAAGTTCAAAGACAGGATCCATAAATAAAAAAAAATAAATACAGTTTTAGAAAAAAGACAAATAGACGAAGAAAAGTGAATTTTTTAATAATTACGATTTGAGAGCAATCCAAATTTTTAAATTAAACGGTTATCGGACACTTAAGCAATTTTTGGCGGAAAAACATACATATTTAAGTTATTTTTCTATGTATATGACTTATACAGGGACATAAGTAATCAATGGAGTATTGAGAATAGAAAAGGAAAAGGCACAATATGTTATGTGAATATATTTTAAAAATAATTAAGAAAACGTTGAGAAAAGCACCTTTTAAGTTTTTAATCGTCTTAGGTACCTTAAAATTGGCAATGGCAAGTAGGTAGTAAAGGCAAATCACAAACTAATTGGTAATTTTTCAGTAGATAAAACTATCAAACTAATAAGGGACCGGTTTTGGTTTCCTAAAATGTAAAAACTAATTAATTACTATGTCAAATAATGCCGTAGTTGCTCATATCATAAAGCTCAATCATGTAAGAAACCAGGGTTCTTATTTTCCATTATAAAACATTCTCGCCCATTTAATATATGGCAATTCACAGAAAAAAAAAGGGTACAAGGAATAAACAGCAGAAGTTTTTGGTAAAAAAAAAGGAATAGACATTATCATACAGCTGTGCGTATGCCTAGAGTAAGTGTAGAGTTTGAAAGGTTTAATAAAACAATATTAGATGCCTTGATCCTTAGTCGCAAGTGAAGCTAATACTAATTTAGACAAATGGGATTATAATATAAAAAAAAACAACTGGGTATCAAAAGTACCACCAATAAAACAATATAATTATGTTCCATAATGAAACAAACAAAAAGTTGCGAGAAAAGTTTAAAGGTTTATTTTATAATGTACAGGTTATTGGTAACGATCGGAAGCCTTATAAACTTTTATTTTGAAACAATACTGTAGAAAACACTGTATTTGAGAATTACAGAAATTATAAAAGTATTTGTAAATTATCTATTTCTTGTTATAGTGCGTCATAGTATTTCTTTGTAAATATATTCACCTCTTTTCTAAAGACTTGAATGAAAAACCGACACTATAATTTTACGACTATTTTTCTGAAACTTCTAAACAAGCCAAATGTTTAATGTTGATGCATATAATGTCTCGAATTCGAAAACTAATGTTAATTTGAGTTTTTATTATCGACTTAACAGAACCTATATACTAGGAACTCAATAACAATAACAAATAATATTATGATCTAGGCGCTTCCAACACTAAGAGCATACCAGTATTCGGTACAGACTGGCGTTACATAACAGTGCGGTGTTGATGATGTTGTAGATGTAAATAACATAATGTAAAGTAATAAAAAGTCTTATCAGGTGAAAATGTTTTTAGGCATAGTACTGTAGAATATTATCTCTAAAACACTATCAGATGGAAATGTTTTCAGGCATAGCACTGTAAAAGTCTATCAGGTGAAAATGTTTTTAGTCATAGTACTGTAGAGACCATTTCTAAAACACTATCAGGTGGAAAATTTTTCAGGCATAACACAGTAAAAAGTCTATCAGATAAAAATGTTTTCAGTCATAGTATCGTAGAATATCATCTCCAAAACACTATCAGGTAAAAATGTTTTCAGGTATAGTGTAGTCTCGTTTCTGAAACACTATCAAGTAAAAATGTTTTCAGGCATAGTACTGTAGAAAGTCTATCAGGTGAAAATGTTTTCATGCATAGTACGCTCTACCTATAGTCAACAAAAAAAAATATTTGTTTGGTGATAAATTATTATTTTTACAGATATTTAGATATCAGATATACCTTGAGGACAAGATTCACATCCAGGATGGCCGGATGTTAGCTTTCAGTATTTATTATAAAAATTTTAGCTAAACACTCCCTGTAGTATTTTTGAGTATGGTGCATCTTTCGCTGACACAAGATATTCTGATAATATTTCGACGAGTGGACAGACTCAGTTTTAACAAAGAACAAAGGGAAATATAGACTAATATTAATCCTTTCATTATTAGCTGTTTAACCGTTATTGATTAATAAAGTTAATTTTTTGTAAAGTAAATTTCTATTACCTCTTAGCTAATAATAAATATTTTAAATAATACAGTTATCCAAACTAATAAATTATATCAATTTATGTTTTTTAATAGAACACCTTGTGTATTACTACATTTTTATATTCTTCTTAAAGTTGGTAAAAATTTCTTGACAGTAATAATTTTTGGCCCACATTCTGTTCATTGCATTTAAATAAAAAGTAAAGATAGGGACCTGTAAGCCGTTTTAACTATTTTTGAAAAGTTTTATCAAAAAAATTTATAAAGTTTAAAATATCCATTTTTATTACCCCATATTGATGCTAAACCTCAAGTAGAGAGAATCTAAAAGTACAATGAAATTAAAAAAAAAAACATAACTTTAATATAATTTCTTATTTTCACCCTGCAAAAAGCGAAATATTTTCAATTTATGATTTTAAGAACTTTGTATATATTATTAAAAAAATTAACTTGAAAATTTAAGCCGTTTTGTATACGAAGACCGACGCGTATAGTATGCCCCTACTAAGAGATTTAAGATTCAAGAAATTTAAATGGAACATACTTTAAATAGAAAACAGGAAAATATTTGGTGTACCGCTATGTTAAAGTATTTCAAAAATACGCTACAAAATAAGCACTGCTAAAGTACAATTTATTAACAACTAGGGGTTTTAAAATATTTCACAAAAAATTTAAAAATTTTTAAAAATATTTCTTTTAAAAATGTTTTTTGTCCCAATGCAATATTGGTTTTTTATTTTATTAAATTTCAATAAATCAAATAAAAAAGGCTTTAAAAAGGGTCATTTACACGTTGTGTGTAATGATTATATGCCTTTCGAAAGGTAAATTTAATTTTTTTTTTAAATAATTAAGATATGCCAGTAGAACAATACAACCCAGATACTTTTTACAAAAACTTTTAATCTCGCCAAATTTTACAATGTCTACAATGTGTGCATATTATATAAGTATTTTTATAGGACCCAATTTTAATAAAACCAGGCAAAAAACGAAAGTGGAATAAGAGAAATTATTGTTGTTTTTGCGATAGGAAAACGATAAAATTTTTCCGTCACGTACTATGACATCATAGTGCAGAATTCTAGGTACAAGAAATTTTAGCCTGTAATAAAGAGGATAAAAATTGGAATTATCTTTTCAATAAGTTGGAAATACAGGAAACTTTTTAAAAACTACTTTGAACGGGGACGTTATACCAGTAAGAAAATCTACAGCCGATAATTTAATAGTACTTTTTATATCAACATATCTGCCATGTAAATATTGCAAAATATTTTAGAAAAAATATCTGTATAATCTCTGTATACAGGTCAAGAAATGTCCCCACAATAGCGAACACAAAGCTGTAAAAATAAATGCTCGAAGCGAAGGCTTTAAAGCTTACAAAATTAATTATATGCTACGTAAGGAAATATTTTTAAACATGAGACCAGATACGATATCCTTTACGGCTAAAACTGATTCGTTGATTTGTGCCGTAGCCAGAAGGTATTTAAAGAACCATCGAGATAATCAAATTAAATTAGTGGCGTCGCGAAAAATGAGACAACTAGCAGCGCTGCTTATTGAGATCAAGAAGAAATCTCAGGTTAAAAATTTATTGGATTGGATGCAAACTTCGATTTTATTGTATAGTGTACTAAAATAATATATCGATATGATCCAGAAACTAACACGTTTGGTGCTCCATCACTAGCGTCCCACATATGTACGAAATTAAAAGATGCTTTTGATACTTACAATATGGTTATTAAACAAAAAAATGTAAGAAATGGTAAAACTAACAAATTAAAAGTTTTAATAGAATTAATAGTGACGAGTGGCGTTACGAAATATCAACAATAGCAAATAACGATCTGCAACAAAAAAGAATGAAATAAACCATTACTAATTGTCTTAGCAGAAGATCTTACTCTTATAAAATCTTATCTGCATTTGCAGAGTGAGACATATTGAACTGAGTTACTATGTAACTCACAAAACTATAAGACATTTATCACTTTAATTGAAGTAACTTATGTACTGTTAATTCTACTAAACAGACGACGTGTTGGTGAATTACAGAGGATGCCAGTTACATCATATACACATAATATTCTTAAAAAAATATCAAACAAGTTTGATGGATGTATCACTGAAAGTGAAAAAAATCTCATGCAGTCGTTTAAGAGGGTGGTTATTAGGGGAAAACGGAGAAGCGGCGTTCCCGTACTATTTACACAGGAGATGGCAAAAAACCAAACTAATTTGGTAGATAAAAATAATATTTATTTATTTCCTAATCCAAAATCTTCTAAGAGCATTAGTGATCCTCAAGTCATTTATAAACACATAAGATTTGCAGGTATAAAGAATCCTGACGCGTTAACATCTACTAAGTTAAGCAAGCACCTTGCCACAATGTCTCATAACATAAAGTTGTAGCAACAAGATTTGAAGCAACTAGCTAATTTTATGGAACATACGTCTAAAATACATAAAACGTATTACAGGCTTCCGAATGATGTATATCAGATGGCAAAAATATCAAAATTGCTCAGACTAAATGAAAAGGGCGGAGCATCCAAGTATTAAAAAAATACTTTAGATGAGATTGAAATTAATATGGAAGTAATGAAAGAAATATCAGAAGATGAACAGGAAACTGACATAAAAGAGTCTCAAGTAATGACCGCAACATCTTTAGAAACTGCAAACAAAACTAATATCGCGGTAAGTAGAATAGACGAAATAAAAAAATATGCTAAAGGTTAGTTTCACTAAAGCATTTCAATGTTTTTAGTAATCCTAATATTCACAAGTTAAGCTAGAAGTTTTTAACATGATTTTAATCGTTCACGTGTTTATTTTATAAAACAAATTGTAATAAATAACCTTCCTGAGGCCGATATTATATAATACACATTTTTTTTTTCAAGGATCGTATGAAAGAGTTTTGCAGGATCTTTATAAAAAATCCTTCATTATAAATGGTACGGTGTAATATTCCAAATTATTTAAAATAAAGCAAATATTTTATAAAATATTACGTTGTAAAATTTTTTATCTAAAATATATGTAAGAAACGTTATATACAGGGTGATCAACTTATACTCCGGAGTTTTATATCTCCGTTGTTTTGAGGGATACGAACAAAAGTTTTAAATACAAATTATAGATAGAGTCCGGATCCACATTTTAAAATTATTTCGTAATATACAGAGTGTTTCATAAAGTCAGGGCATACCAAAGTTATGTTTTTTTAGTGGAACACCCTATATGTTATCTCTAATTTGAATTTTGCTCATTTTCCCCATTCCGTCAATATAGGGTTTTATCAGATTCTACAGGGCACTTTTAAAGAAATGGTCACTTTTATGTGAATATCTTAATGAAATCGCCACCCTGTATTATTTATAATCAACAATTAAGAAACAATATCTTAAGGCCAGAATAATTTCGTAGTAGTCTAGTATTGTTGCAACTCATCATGTTTTAAAATTTTTCATTTTGTATACAGGGTAACCCAAAACTCACGACCATGATTTACTCGGTTATTTCAAATGGAACACTCCGTATCTTATATCATTTTCATAAACTACTTACAAAATACTTTTACTTTTGTTAAGCATTCCCTATACCTAAATGTTACAGCCGTAGAGTTTTTTCGATTTTTAATAATAAAACGATATTTTTGGCAAATACTGAAAGTTTCTTATAGTTGGCCATGACTGCCGTATTTGACATAAGGTATTAAGTAATGTGATTTTTGTCAACTAATTGTCAATTTAATATTTGAGTTTTGATTCGGTTCTTCTTGTTATTTGTTTATACAATTGGAATTGGCAAATGATGAATTTTTCCAATGAGGAATTAGTCGATATGATCTGGATACTAGGAGAATGTCATAAAAATAGCTTGCTAGCAGTAAGGGTGTATCATGAAAAATTCCCAGAGCACCGATTACCTGAAAAAATAATTTTCAAGAAAGTTATGGATCGATTTAATCGTACAGGTAATGTAGCGTATGAAAAAAAAAAGGAAAAAACGAAAACCGTTATTACTGAGGAAAATGAACTCAATGTATTATTAGCAGTTACGGATAATCAAAATACGAGCACATGAGTAATTTCCTGGGGAAACAATAAGCTGTGGAAGTGTGCAAAGATGCACCCATATCACATTTAGTTACACCAGGAATGATGATTTTCGGCGAAGAAGAAACTTTTTAGTTGGACAAAAAGAAAAAGTCATGATCAAAGAATTTTTTTTTGATTATGTACTTTTCGGAAATTAGTCGACATTCCATAAAAATGGTTTATTAAATCGACATAATTTTCACTATTATGCCAGACAAAATCCTTATGCGATAGTTACTACTTCTCAAACAATATGGTCTTTAAATATTTGGGGTGGTATTGTTGGTGATTATGTAATAGGACCATATTGTTTTTAAAAACAGTTACCAATGAAGTTTATTTAGACTTTTTGGAAAATCATTTCCCTATACTTCTTGAAAATGTTCCTCTTCGTATATGTCAGCAAATGCAGTAATTCATGGTCAACTTGATAATCAATTTTCAGAACGATGGATAGGTGGGAGAGGACCAATTGAGTGGCCCAGCTAGAACGCCAGATCTAACAAAAGTTAATTTTTTTCTGTGGAGGTATGTGAAAAATGAGGGGTATACAATTCCTGTAACTACAAAAGAGGACATGAAAAATAAACTTAAGGTTGTTTTCCAAAACATTAGTATTCCAATGGCTATAAATGTAGGAAGGTCATTTGAATATCGGATACAACTCTGTTTAAATGTAATGGGAGGTCATTTTGAATAGTTATTGTAATTATTTTGTTCTGTTAGTATTGATGATAGTCTTGTTAAAAAATCTGTAGTTTTATTTTTTATTTTTAGATTATTTATAATTAACTTGTTTTTCAAGCTGTCAATTGCCAAATCTACGAAACTTTTAGTATTTACCAAAACTATCATTTTATTACTAAAAATCGAAAAAACTCTACGACTGTAACATTTAGGTATAAGGAATTCTTAACAAAAGTAAAATTATCTTGTAAGTAGTTTATGAAAATTATATAAGATACGGGATGTTCCAATTGAAATAACCGAGAAAATCATGGTTGTGAGTTTTGGGTTACCCTGTATAAAAAATGAAAGATATCAAAAACACGATGAGTTTCAACAAAAATAGACTACTACGAAATTATTCTGCCCTTAAGATATTAACCCTTAATTGCTAATTCTAAATAATACATGGTGACGATTTCATTGTTTTCAAATAAAAATGGCCATTTCTTTAAAAGTACCCTTTAGAACCTAATAAAACCCTATATTGCCGGAATGGGGAAAATGAGCAAAATTTAAATTCGAGATAATATATAGGGTGTTCCACTACAAAAACATAACTTTGGTATGCTTTTACTTTATGAAACACCCTGTACATTACGAAATAATTTTAAAATGTGGAGCTATCTATAATTTGTATTTAAAACTTTTATTCGTATTCCTCAAAACAACGGAGATATTAAACTCCGGAGTATAAGTTGATCACCGTGTATGTATTTTTCTCATAGTTCGTTCAGTTTTTATAGGTACCTTTAGACCATTTTTGAGCTGATTAGGTAGGAGTTCAGCGCTTTGATGGCTGCTTGGCTATGGGGCATGAATATAATTTCTTGTCTGCAAAAGTTATTATCTGTGTTGAAGTGGATACATTTCTCGATGGCTTGAATTTCCGCCTGGAAAATATTTGGGTATTTGCTCAAACTTTCCGAATATTTGGTTCTATGCCCATAGACTTATATGTATTTCAGTTTGTTCTGTAGTTATGGAACCAACCGCATGCCACTGAATTACATGATTTTTGGTTGAAAATCAGACTGACTCTTGGCTCCAGAGTTAGGCGTACATATTTGACATCTTTTTTCCATTCTATTCCGTCTGTTTTGATGGTTTTGAGAATAAGCTCTCTTTTCTTTGAAAAGGCTACTAGTCAGGTCAGTTGTGTTTTACTTCATTGAATAAACAAGTGCTGGTGATTTAGGGTGTTTGTTATTTTGTTAAATGACGCGTAATCACAAACCTCAAAGAATTTAAACGAAAAAAATATTCGTATCTAAAAGCTGAATTTATCCCATTTTTGGCCAATGGTGCGTATACGCACCAGCCTACAAACTATTTTTTTTTAATGATATTATTAAATTTTTAATGAATTATACATTTTTTATCAAGAGAGTACTGTTAATCAATAATGGTTTGCATACCTATCTTTTTTTTCTACATCAGATTTTTTTTTAATAATTGATAAAAATATGTCGATTTTCATTCACGATGCAGACCTATAAATAATTGCATATAAAAGAGATCAATTTTTTACAAATTAGTTTATTTATTCACGATATTATCACTTAGATACTCTAAAATAACATAGCATAATAGTGTTACTCCATTAATTTTTTTAAAACATTCAATTCGTATAAAAAAAATAGTGGTTCGTATACGCACCATTGGCGCTATATATGACCGAAAACATATTATATGCACGTTAGATAGACGTGCGCACTTGCACGTAATTAGTAGTGCGAAGACTTCCTGTATCGTCTTGCAGTCGCAGTTCTGCTTTGATTGTTGTGTAGCCAAGTCGGTAGTTGAAATTTTTGCGATTTTGTTGTGTGAGTAAGATTTTAGAGATATGGCGCGAAGAAAATATCTGACACAAAGAGAATTGCAAGAGGCATTGGAAGATATTGAAAATGATATTGAAGACGCTGATGGTAAGTAATGGATGTTTATTTCATGAGTGTTAGTGTTTTATGGTATATTCCTTTGCAGTAGGTGTGTTGAATGCTGCGTACATTCCACCGGAAGTAGATGAATTGACCGACGAAGAGAACATTGATGAAAATGACCAAATGAATCAAATACCACTAGATCAGGATATAGCCGGTACATTCGAAATAGATGTGGGAGATAACGACGATTCATATGATGAATCAGATGACGAGACGCAATTGGAAAAAAGAAAAAGACAAAAAATGAATGTACAGAAATCGAGAGAGCCTAAGTGGGAAAAAAAGGAAAGTACCCAAATTCGTTTACCTATTTCAAATGAAATAGAATCCATACAAGAGCTGAAGAACTCTTTGGAAGGAAAGACACCAAGAGCTCCTGTCCATGATAGTGGACTTTTCGTTGAAATATGCGCGTAGCAATAATCGTCTAGATTTCGATATCAATATAAATATTCTGAAAAATTTTCTTGGTATTTTGATACTTTCTGGTTATCATATTTTACCGCAAACAGATCTCTACTGGAGCAAAGATGAAGACAAAGGTGTTGACATAGTCAGAAGATGTATGAGCAGAAATATGTTTAGAAGTATCAAAAGAAACTTGCATTTTTCCGACAATGCAAATCTAAATAAATCTGATAAATTTGTCAAAATGCGACCACTTTTTGATGCCATCAATATTCGCAACAAGCAATTTGGTGTGTTTTCGCACAATCTTTCTATCGATGAGCAAATGGTTCCATATTTTGGTAGACATTCCTGCAAGATGTTCATAAAAGAAAAACCCGTTCGATTCAGATTCAAATTATGGTGTTTATGCTCATCTGATGGATATCTTTTTACCTTCATACCTTATGGTGGAGCGAAAGCAGAGAACGAAAAATCTCCGTATGGACTAGGAGGGCAAGTAGTGTTAGATCTCTTGGCTGTCTTAGAAAATCCGTTACATCATAGGATTTTTTTTGATAACTACTTTTCGTCGTATAAATTATTTGAGAAATTACATGAAATGCAATATTCTGCAACAGGTACCATTAGGGAAAACAGAACGAATAAGTGTCCTCTAGAAAATGTGAAGTCTTTCAAGAAGAAACAAAGAGGTGCTTATGATTCCGCAGTTGAAGAAAATATTCAACTGAGTCTTGTCAGATGGAATGACAATGCCATAGTCACTGTCGCCAGCAATAATTTTT